CAAATGATACATATGGAATCAGACGTCCCATAAACACCTACGTCCGTATCAAATTTTAAAGCTCTATCTTCATTTTTGCGAAGCATGGAGAATAATATTGTTTATATAAAGGCTCTAAAATTTTGGCCTGGGAACCCAAAACCTTTTTGGGAATTTGGCATACAAACCGAATACTATCACCTCCACATGAAATTTCCCACCACCAGACGACTGTGATGTTTTCGCGTCGCAAAGTGATATAAATGTATTATTTTACAGGCCACAAAGAAGAACCTGTCGGAAAAATTTATAAATTATCTGTGTTTCAAAATGTCAAAAATGGCGTATGGAATACTTGAGAACCAAGCGTAGGTATTTAATGTGGTGTGTAAAGCAAGCCTGAGAATTCGTTCAGCAAAAAGTGGTTGAGTTGCCATTTCTACCCTAGGCGCTAAAAATATATTCGACTTGACATTTGAATTTGCGGCAAATTTGATTCAACCAATCAGAGCTAGATTTTTGCTTACTTTTGGTATACCTCTACTTAGTTGAACATAATTATTCATGCGTACTGTCCTTTATAATTTTAAGGACCACCGACCAAATCGAAAATAAACGCAATATAATTGTAAATTTACAGAAAGACAATTTAGGGTATGGAGATAAAAACAAATTTTGTGTTGCAATCATCACTGCAAAATAATACAAGTAGACACATCAACGCAACTGGAGGTACAATGAATTGTCAAAATATTTTTTTATTATAATGTTATTAAAATTGTTAAAACAGTTGAAAAGCACATAAGCTCTGAATGGCATAGTATAAGAAAAAATGCAAAAAATCAGCTAATTTTTGCAGAATCTTTTAAATACATATATAGATATTTTATTGTAAGCCAGTGCTTTTGAATCTACCTGTATTCATCTACCATATCATTCATTTATGGCGAACTTAACACCACAAAATTTTTTTGGACATTTAATGGTGCCATCAACTGGGACGAAGCGACTACCCATTATATCTGCCTTAATAGTGGCTGGCTATATAAAATTCGCTATTTTCTTGGTGGTTCGCTGTGAATAATTATGTCTCGACCCCTCGATATCGACCTCTTTTCATTAGCGTCACATGCAAAAAATAGTGATATCTCCTACATTTGAAGTCAATAGACAGACGGACCGATTCAAACCAAAATCGAAGATTAGGTAGTTGAAATAAAAAGAAATTGTGTGATTTTGTTTTATTTTTTTATAATACTGTTGCCATATTTATTTAAATTTCATTTGTTGTTGTTTTTTGTTTTGCAGTTTCACTTATAAATTAAAAACAATTAGGACTTAAATTCATGTATTTTTTATTCAATGAGAAAGATGATATTAATAATAAACAATAGTAAAATGTAAGAAATATTAATAGAAATAGAAGGAAAGAACGAACGAACAAACGGAGGAAAAACAATTTAAGCATAACACTAACTAAAAGAAGGAATTAATGTTGTATTTAATAATAATAATAATTTTTAATTTATTTTTTAGCTGCTGTCACATTATTATGTTTTTTTTTTTTCATTATCTTTTCTTTGCTATACATATAGACTAAATATTTTTTTGTATATAATTATTTGTTTATATATTTATTTATCATTTTTTGTTGGTGTATATCTAAAGAGTAATTTTAGGATTTTATAAGCTAACTGATAAAATTACAAGAAATATATTACAAGGAGGCGGGGTGAGAAAGTTTTCAACTTAGTTTTTTTATTTTTGTTTTTGATGAGAAGGATACAAAGGATTCAGTTTCATTTGTGGGAATAGGAATTGTATCATTAGATTTGTTTTATTTGCTATTCATGCTAAATATTTGCAGTTCATGAATAAGTCATAAATATTTAAATGCTTTATTCTTGTTGAAATATTCAATGTTTTTAAATATATATTTTTTTAATTTTCCTTATATAAAAATGATAAAAATGTACAGGTGTTTTTGTTTGTTTTTTTTTTGTTTTCTTTTCTTTTTTATGTAAATGTATATGTTTATACGTATAGATGTTGTTGTTTTTGTGTTTTGTAGTTTGCTATCTCTTTCTTGTTCAGTTTTTTTTTTATTATTTGTTGCTGTTCATTTACTGATGACTGTTTTGTGTTTTGCTTTCCTATAAAGACATTTATCTAATCTGAGGATTAATGTTTGCTTATATATTCTCTCTTTCATGTTTATTTATCTTGATTTCCATATTGTATAATTACATTTATTGAAGCATCTACTTATCCTTATATCTATGTTTTTTTTTTTGCATTTTCATTTTATATATATTCCATTTTGTTTGTTTTCTGTTTTTTTTTTTTTTTCTTCCTGTTTCATTAACATTATTATAAATTGTGTTTTTTAAAAACTACGCCAGTCTCAAAAAGCTCGAGTACCACAAATAAAAGAAACGTTCTGCCTTTATAAACGTTTACAATTGTTGTTGTTTTTTTTTTAATTTTTTTGTATGTTTTTCTATAATTTTTGTTTTTTTATGAATTATGTTTAAAATTAAGGAAATTTGAGAATGAAAGTAATTCCAGTTTTTAGGGCTAAAAATGTGAAATAAAGCATAAAAATATTTTTTGCTTAAAGGTTGAATATTTAAAATTTGATGATGAGTTTCTTCTTAACGATATTTAAATCAAATCAACGAGGAATACTTATTCCGAAATATAAGTAATTTATTGAAATGGACTTCCATGCATTTTTACGTTGAGCGCAACTTTAGAAGATGGTCCTTGCAGAATATGGTTCACGCTTCATTTGCATTGTTTTTACAAAAAATCTCTGCAATCTAATAATAATTCTTCTTTATATTTGAAATGGCGCCCAAGCTGAATATCATAAAAATTTTAAATTTCAAAACATTTATTCTTAGAAAAAGTTAGATGGATATCCTGGGAATGTTTATAACTCATATAATTCTGGTTTCATATATTTTTTTTAACTTCCTAATATTTCAAAGATGCACTTAATATTTTTTTTCAGAAAAATTGTTTTTTACATCTGGGAATCCTAAAGAGTTTAAATAAAATACAGAAAATTTTCCTTTCTTCTAAAAAATATTTAGGTTTCAAAATGGCGCCCAAACTGTAGATTCCATCTATAAAAATAATTTTTTTTTTCAAAAAATATTTTTTATGTGTTTGCTCATTTTTTGTCTCGAAAGAGAAACACACACATAAATCATAAACATATGATCTTCGCCTTAACAGCGAAAAAATCAAAAAAAAAATATTTTTGTTTTTTATATCTGGGAATCTTAAAGCGTTTAAATAGGTCATTCAAAATGGTTTTAATTAAAGAATTTTTTTATTGCAAAATGGCGCCCAAACAGAAGACCCTTAATATGTTTAATTTCAAAAAATGAATTTAAATATTTTGTAAATTTAATATTTTTACATCATTTTTTATATTTCAAAATGGCGCCAAAAACAGATGACACTCTTGAAGTTTGTATCAAATAATTTCTCACAAGTTATTGAATTTCATATACGAAGTTTTCTCTGAATAATTTTGTTATTTAATTTATACAAATGTACTATTTGAAAATTGGTTTACCAACATCTTTGCTATTAAAAAATTATGAGAGTTTTCCTTTTAGGAATAAATCTAGAAGAACCCTAAAATATTTGAGAGCTTTCATGACATTTTCTTCAATTGTTAGTATTTTGTATTTAATTTAAAAATATCAAATGTTTTCGATAAAAGTATTTTTTTTTTTCATTTCTCTAATTTTTTTTTAATTGAAAAAAAGTTTTAAAAAAAGGCATTCAAAAATTTTTAACTAAAAAGTTTAAAAAATTCGAAATGGCGCCCAAGCTGAAAGTCCTTAATATTGTCCTTAATGAAATGTTTTTTTTTTTTAATAAAAATTCGTTTCGTCTTTTATATTTCAAAATGGCGCCCAAACAGAAGACACTCTTGAAGTTTGTTTGCAATAAATTTAGAGATTTTGAATGTCATATACAAAGTTTTTGCTGAATATTTTTATTTTTACAATTTTATTGTTGGCTTCCTAACATATAAGGATCATATTTTTTTTAAAGAAAATTTATGAGATTTAAAAAAAAACATCTGGAAGAACCCATAAAACTTTAATAGTTTTCATGAAGTTTTCTCCAAATGCTCTTATTTTCAATTTAGCTTAGAAAAGGTAAAGATTATAAAATGGAAACCAAACAGAAGTAGCCTATGATTTTGGCCTAAAAAAATTATGTTTCGAAAAAAGGAAAAAAAATCCAACAGAAAATAAGAAAGTAGTTTTCTCCCTACTAAATTGATTAAAATCTCTTTAGGTTTCAAAATAGGAACACAAATTTTTGAAACATTTATAGCCATCTAGAAAAAATGTTAAGACTTCTTTTCGAGAATTTTCCTTATTTATTTAATTTTTTTTTGTCAAACAAATTATGAAAATCCTTTGCGCATACTTATAATTGGTACCCTAATTTAAGAAAATAATCCCAAGCGATCTCAGCGACATTATGTGTAAGATTCAAGTAATGAACACAATGAACCACTATGTCGCCGAGGAGAGTGGTTGTTAGAACAACCACGCATCCTTTAAGCTAAGATTTAAGTAAAGAGCTTCCTTATTTTCTGAAAGCGAAAAAAATGCACCCACATACAAATATTCTCAAAAGTATTCATTCTATGGCTAGGGGTCAAAAAATGCGTTTACGCATATGTATTTATAAAAATAATAAAAATACATATTTATTTAACAAATATATATTTAATTAAAAAAATAATGTGTCATATATAATTCATCATCAGTTCTTTATTTATTCGGAAAAAAATCTCTATATATATATTTTACAAAACTTATTCTTTTTTATAAATTATTTCACATTTTAACTTAAAAACTCGCATTACTTTGGATTCTCTTAATTTATGTTTTTTTTTTTTTTTTTTCATTTCTTAAAGGTGGTAAAAATAAAATCCATAAATGTATATTCTTTTAATTTTTATTCTTAAACATTATATCAAGTTTTTCTTGTTTTTTTTTGCATTTCTTTTTATAAATTCTCAACTTATTTACTAAATTCTTTTATTTTTAGGGGGTAAATAAATATCTTAGTTGTAGTTCGGTTTTTTTCTTTATATATAATTTTATTTTTATAATTAATTATTTTTATTCACTACTGTACACATACAAAATTAAAGAGAATTTTGTTTCCTCATAGTTTCTTTCATTTTGTTTTTGGAAAAATTAATAATATTTATAAACAATCATAAATATTTAATAATAATAAAAAATGGATATTTGCCCCCAATTTGGGGCCGCTAAGTGGCTGGTTTAGAGTTTTTGCAGTTCTTCTTTTTTTTTTTTTTGTTTGGAAATTATAATTTTTCTTATCATATATCTTTTTTGTTTTGTTTTATTTCTCTTTGAAAACTTAACTAAATTGTGTTTTTTTCTGAGTGTTTTTCTTTTATATTTATAATTATTTATATTTATAGTATATAACAGAAATGTTTGTGTGTGTGTGTGGTTCCTATGCAATTTTTGTGTATTTATTTTTATTATTATTTTTTAGTTTTAATTATTTTAATTTATTGTTATATAAATTTAAAATTTAAGCTAACATTTATGATGCAGCGAACAATCGTCTTCAGTCGTTGTCCGCCTGACATCATCATTACTAATCTCTGGTTTTTCCTTGTCTGCCTCACTTAATAATAAATGTTCTTCTTCTTCGTGTTGTTCTTGCTGTCGGGGATCATGTCTTAGTAGTAGTTTATCTGTTTCGAGGGTCATTTTATCCAATGGATTTTCTCGAATACTTCTTCTTCTTCGTTTCCGGCTATTGGGCACACCGGCTGCACCGCCCGTGGCTCCTTTTCTCTTGACAAATTTAATGTTGTACGGATCTTCGGCCAATTCCGGATATAATGTAACGTCGTGTATATATTCTCCCTCATAGTTATTGGCATAGTTTTGTTTCAGTATTTCATCGATTTCCTGTTGATTCCATTCTATTTCTGTGTTAAGGCCATTTCGCAAGGCCTCCTTCTCCCGATGCCAAGCCTTACGCACCGCTGTCAGCTTGGCATGATGCATCAGCCTTTGCTTCTCTTTCTCCACGGTTGTGCCGTAACGTAAATTGATTATGGCATGCAGACCATGGATCTTCACATCCAAGTAATTGGTACCGCTACCATTTTCTCTTGTTATTTCATGGAAGGTGGTATTCACCTGACCCTGTAACCGTTTCAGTTGCTGGCGATCTTCACTGGCCCGCCACAGTTCCTCCTTCACAAAGAAGAAGGAGTCCTGCTGGGCATTGTGCACCACAAATGTGAAGGGCAATAATTTGGAGCGATTAAACACCGAGGTATAGACATCTCTGTAAATGGCATTCGCGGCTGGTACACTGGACACAATTGCCTGGCCATCGGGTGTCCGAGACACCACAATTCCTTTGCCAAATGGTGGTTCGGTATCCGAACCAATATTCCTGGGACCCGGTGTCATGACATCATATTTCAAGGCAGATCGTGGCGGCGCATTTAAGTCTTCAAAGTTCGACATGCGTCTTATGTTCAAGTGGGCCAAGAAACCACTTTCCACAGCCATGGTGGGCACATTGTACATGGGTCTCTTCAAATCCATGGCAATGGGATTGTGTGGAGCCCTACCCCACAATGAAGGCTGCTCCCACAATTTACGACTCAGCTGAGGCACCAAATTCTCCACATTATAGCCAATGGTCTTCATCCAGGCGGTAAATGAGGCCGGATAGTTGCGATCATGGCCCACATTGATGGGATCATTGCCATTGAAACGATACAAATGCATTTTGGTGGGTGTTGGTATGCGTTCGGCAACATTCTCCCAGTTCGGTGTCATCCACTGGCCAATCAGGGGATCATAAACCCTACCATCTGCCATATGCACCAGTGTGGTCACCTGATCCAATATGCCACCACAAAAATCAATTGGCAAATACAAATAGGGATTCGAATCGTAGACAATGTGGCCGAAGGGTGAGCGCATTATCTCCCGAATACCCTCACCATATTGATTGAAAATCATGATGGGCGTTCCCGACTGATCTGTGGCCACATAGTACTTGTGTCGGAAAACTTGGGCATAAATCAAATGGCCAATATCGTCATAGGTCAATGACATCAGTTTACCATCGCGGGGCGAATAGATTTGGGAAACTTCAAATGGCCTCTGCTGATTGTTGTAGAAGAACTGGGTAACGTTTCCAAAGTTGTCCTTGCGTGTGGTTAAACGTTTCATGTGGTCATAGTAATAGCGTACATCGAAACGTCCTCGCTTAGTTGCACGCACCAACAATCCTTGGGTATTGTAATAGAATCTCTCCTCCCTGGCATTCTGGGCCACCAAACCTCGAGAATCATACTTGTATTGTCCCTCGCCGAATTTCACAATACGATCTTGATTATTGTATTCCATGGGTATGGTATTGCCACGATAGGTCAGAGACAACAAATTGCCATTGTCGTCATAACGGAAGCCCCATGGCTCCTGGGCCTCAACACCCACCAGTTGGCCATCACAATCCCAGGTGTAATTCTTAACATTGGTATAGGTGTTCACCGCCATGTTGCGTGTATAGGTTCGTGTCTGTGTAATGCGTCCATGGACACCAAATGAATATTCCATGCGGAAAACTTCTAAACGATGAATCGACAAGGCAACCTTTTGCACCATAAAACGACCATCAACGGTGCGTGTAAAGCTGGCGGTACCATCATAAACCTGGGTTTGATTCAGCATCGGATGCATCAACTTGAATAACCCAATCATGCTTGGTTGACCCGTACGTTGGTCATAGGCGAAATTTTGTGCTGGCAAATTTTGTCCTCCAATACGTCCTTGTATGGATATCACCCGGAAATCGGTATCATATTCATAGGTAAACTTGGCATTACTCAAGCCCGTCTTGGCCACAAAGTCAATTCTCTCCTCGGTCAGGAGGCCTCCGGTGTACTCGAAATCCCAACGATATTCCAACTCACGTTCCGTGTGCGACACCGTGGAAGGCATGGCGGTGGCGTCGTTGTAAATAAATTCACTTTTGCCTTCGCCGTGAACAATTTCCGTCAACTGGCCAGCTGCATTGTAACGATAAAGAATTCGGGCGCCATCACCTGGGAAAATTGTCTGCAGCAATGCTCCCGAGTGGCTGAAGTGTTGCAGATAGGGTTTTGTGCTACCAGGTGCCGTATAGGTGCTGCGTATAAAACCTATTGATGTCTGCATGCTGAACGAATGTTTGGTGCCCGAAGGTAGCACCACATGTCTCAGGCCACCAGATTCATCATATTGCAGGACGAATTTACGCTGAGATGCCAAACCGATTTCCGACAGCAGATTCCAGTCATTGTAGATAAATGAGATTATGCCATCCTGTTGGGAGGTGATTTCCGACAGCAAACCATGACGATCATAGGAATATTTAATTTCTGCCGGACCCCATGCCCAGCCATCAATGCGATTGAAACGATCATAGGTCAAGTTGACGGGATAACCATTGGTGGGATAATAGGATTTGGGCAGGCCGGATTGATCATAACCCACAATGAGTATGGGAGTGCGGTTCATATCATAGAATGTCTCACGGTTTGTAAATTGATCAAATTCCACACCAATGACACGCGATTGGTTGACCCATATCTCACGATTCAAGGTCTGTTGGGGGTTGCGTACATCGCCTACCAGGTTATAAACGGAATACATGTTGTTTGTCAAGCCCTCACCCATGGTAACACTTTGATGCGACCACATGGCCAACATTTCAGCTTCCACCGGCAAAGCCGCTTCCAACAGAGGATGGCGAGCCACTGCCGAAGATTCCACGACAACACCATTTGAACTGTGTATAACCAAGGTATTGTTTGGCTTAATTTCAGCATCGGCATTCTCCTGGCCCTTCTTCATGAATGTCGAACGGACACCGCCCAAGACCAATAATTCATTGGTATCACCTTTCTCTCGAGAGAACAACGACTCAACCGAAGCATGGACATACACGGTCAAACCCTTGTTATCAGCCAATTGCGAAGTGATCCGTACAATTTCACCACTTGGCAGAATCATTCCAGTGACACGTCCAAATTCATCATATTGATAGATGTAGGTTTCACCACCCGACGAGCGAGAGTTCAACAGACCCGTATTGCTGTCATAATCCAATTCGATTTCTTGTCTTCCCTTTTCGGTTAGTTTGGTCATAATGCCAATGCCATTGATTTGAATATCTGACTTGTGATCTTGGGTATTTTCAATTGAGCTCACCACATTGCTGTAGTCTCGCAGGAATTGTATCTTATTACCCGATGCATCGGTGACTGTGGACAAACGGCCAAAGGAGGTATTTTTCGAATATAGGAAACTGTAACGTGTCTTGCCGGAGGTTAAATCTTTGGTGGTAACATGTTGCCCGTAACGATTGAAGACATAGACCTCACTTGAAGGTGGATAGGGTATGTGGAATTCACCGTTTTCATCGTGCGAAGGTAGGTAGTGTTCCAAGGCCAAAACGTGTAGAGATCCTAGAAAGAAATGAAAATAGAAGAGAGGGAATGTGAGTAAATGGAATGAAATATTAAAAAAAAATCTAAAAATATGCATATCATCGAACAAAAAATGTATCCTCCTCAAAGTATGCAGTTTTCTTAAAGTAAAATAAAAAAGTTATAGACAAATTTCGTTTGTTTTAAAAATTAGAAAATAACATTGCGATAATTCTTCGCTGTCCAAACCAACAGAGAATTAATGTGAAATTATAGAATTGTCCCTAAAAGTATGCATATTATTAAACAAGAAGGAGTTTGCTCCTAAAAGTATGCAGTTTCTTAAAGTATAATAAAAAATATGGGCACAGGCAATATTAGTGGCTGTTACTAAAGCCGAGAATTTGAATTGAGTTTTCTGTAAGAACAGACGTCTTTTCAATCAAATTTTTTTTCAAAAATATAATATTTAATTAAATAAAAAAAGGAATTTCAAATACCTTTTCAAAACCGTAAAACCAAGCAATGGATAACAATTTGCCCATGGGCAGTCATGAACCTAAGAAACCGCCTGATAAGTTTCTATCTGGGGGTAAAGCTGAGAATGAGATGTCAATTAATTCAAAAGTCTATCCAGAATCGAATAATCGGAAAAAGCTTTCGTTGAAAAGCGTTGGAATTGGGACCAAATCGAAATTGTCTGGAAATAATATTGGCATGGCGTTAAGGGATGCCGTTTTTTCTGCTACGTCAAGAAATCCCAGAATATTTTCCAAAGATGATATTTCTCTTGTTGCTTCTAATAAGGATGAGGTTAGTACCCATATGAATGAAAATGTCGATGGATACGAATCGTCAAGAACTTGTTTTGACAATAACATGGATGAGTCAGCCAGTTCAGAGGAAGACCATGACGAGTTTCAACATGTACAGAGTAAGCGATGTAAGCGAAGTCGCAATGATAGTGCTGTTGATTTTTCAAAGCTCCAAACAATGCCATCAAAACAACAATCACATAATATTACACAAAATCAAAATTCGCAAAATAGATATGCCATATTAGGCTCATTAGACTTTGAGAAAGAGCCTGAGAATTCTAAGAGAGACGCTGATACCAGAAGTGGACGTAAGGTATTGGAACGAATCAAAGTAAAGTTTTGCCCACCTATTTTTCTATTCAGAATAAATATTGGTCGTTTGGTAAGTGAGTTGAATGCTAAAAATATTGTTTACCGCGTGGTTAATAAAAATAGGCATAAAAGCAAGCTGTACGTACAGGATCCTTTAGTACACGCCGAAATTGTCGAGATTTTAAGAGACGGCAAATTTGATGCGTATACTTATACACCCAAGCAATTAAGACATGTAAATGTTGTCCTTCGGGGTTTATACCACTCCACTGCAATAGATGATATCAAGTTATGTTTAGACAAACAGGTACCTAATACAATTCAGAAAATTACTAAGTTCAGTACCCAACACTCTAGGAAGAACAATTATGAAACTGGGTTATTCCTAATTTCGCTGCTACCAGGAAAAACAATTTCAGATATTTCACATATTAGGTATATATTAAAGCAAAGGGCTTGGTTTGAATCTCCTAAAGCGAATTCGAAAGTTATCCGATGTTACAGATGTCAAAATTGGGGACATGTGGCTATAAACTGCTGTAGAGAGCGTGCATGTGTTAAATGCGATAAATCTCATGAACCAGGGCTATGTGAACAAACAGAGACTAGTAATCCATTCTGTGTGAACTGCAAGGCATTTGGTCACCCAGCAAGTTACAGGAAGTGTCCCTCTTATTTAAAATACTTAGATTTAAAAGAGAAATCTAAAATCTCGTCACAACACAAGAAAACGCAAGTTCAACGAGAAGTTTTTGGGTCTTTAAATTTTCCGAATTTGGTTCAGCCCGGAAAATCTTTTGCCAATTGTTTCGATAACTCTCGAAAACTTACTGAAAATCATAGTGTAGTCCAAGAATTCCTTAAAATTGCGAGAGTTCTATGTGAGCCTGAAACTCTTTCCTTAGAGGAAAAAATGGAACGTTTTATTAAAGAACATAAAAATATGTCAATGATCGAAGCTAAGGAACAATGTCTAGGTTTGTTAAATGAACTTAAAAAATCGTATGACCCTTAGAAATATTAATTTTTTAACCCTTAATGTTAGATCACTGGTTGATGTGAGCCGACGAATTGACCTATTGAGTATCCTAAACTCGAACAGGATTGACTGCGCTTTTATTCAGGAAACACATTTAAAAGAAAGGCATCGTGTTTCATTAAGAGATTATGTCTTTTTAGAAAATAAAATTGGTGTTGGAGTAGCACTTATTCTGCGGGATAATTTTGATTTTACCAGAGTTGAAATTCCAAATCTTCATGTACCAAATGTATTTGTTTTTGTTAATATGATTATGGACGGTCAGCTAAAAAGAGTTTTATTGGGCACAGTTTACTTTGCTTCAAACTTGGGGGATTCAGTCATTTACAGCAGTTTGTCAAATATAAATTCTTTCGCACAAAACTATGATTGTCTACTTATAGGCGGCGATTTAAACACTAAAAACGTATGTTGGGGTGATTCATTTACAAATATAAATGGCAGATCACTTCAACGTTGGCTGAATGATAACTCACTTATAAGATTGTGTGATTCTATGCCATCATTTCCAAATGGTTCTTCATTTCTTGACCATTTTTTAGTCAGTCCAAATTTAGTTAATATTCTCCAGCCAAATTTCCGTATAAAGACTTTATCAACATTTTCAGATCATTATGCATTGAAATTAGAACTGAAATTCGGAGATCTTGAGCTCCTTATTAGACAGCCCCAAGTGTTTATGTCGTTTAAAGATACTAACTGGAGTCAGTTTCGAGCCGATTTGGACGCCGAATTGGAAGTTCATTTCCCCTCCCATGATTCAAATCTTTCAAACAGTGAGATTGACACATATATTGATCACTTTAGTACCACAGTTAATTGTGTGTCCTCGCTACATTCGAAGAGAATTAGTATGAAAAATAGGAAATATAATATATCAAGGGAGGTACAACATCTTTTTAAATTAAAGCACGACTGGCAAAAGGAGCTAAAACGAATATATCACAGGCAAATGAATAGACAAAATTCGCAGTATTTATTATTATCCAAACAAATTCAACTACTCAAGATTTTAATCAAAGAAAAGGTAAAGATTGAACAATCGCAAATGTTTGATGAAAAACTTAGGAATATTAAACCAGGCCCTAATGCATATAGGCAAATTTACGGACTAATAGGGAAATCTAGGAACTTGATAGATAACGAATTATCAGTAAATGGAGTGGTCATTAATGATGAAAATGAAAAAGTGGATATATTGAGGAATCATTTTGCTCAAATTTATAATGGGCCAGCTCCGAATAGAGATGTGACTCAATTAGAGACATCGGTAAATAGCTATCTGGCCGATGTGCCAAATCAAATTATTCAATTCAATGCTGAGTTTACATCTTTTAATAATGAACACGACAGTAAATTCACAACTTTAGAAAGAGTTTGCCTAATTTTAGCGAAATTAAATAATAAAAAGTCGTGTGGTTTAGACAATATTTCTAACTACCTCCTTCGCAAGCTTCCTTTAAAAGCACTACAGTATCTAGTTGTCATATTTAACAATTGCTTAAATAATTCATATTTTCCTACAGTCTGGAAGATTGGAAAGATTCTGCCAATCAAAAAGAAACAAAATTCATCAGATATCAACAATTTAAGGCCTATTTCGTTGCTATCTAATGTAGGTAAATTATTTGAAAAATTATACGTGAAAAATGAATGAGGGTTTACGATCCGAGTATATTCCAAATTATCAATTTGGCTTCAAAAGAGAGCATTCGACTGTAGATGCTTTGACTAAATTTAGCAGTGATATAATTTCTAATTTACGTGAAAGGAAATGTACTGTCGCAGTTTCTTTGGATGTTGAAAAAGCATTTGATAGAACATATCATAATGGTATATTATTTAAAATGACAGAATTAGGATTTGCAGCTAATGTGGTGAAGTTATTTCAAAGTTTTTTTACCAATAGAAAATTTTATATACAATTGGGAAATTTGAAATCATGTGTGGAGAATGTGTCATGCGGTGTTCCTCAGGGATCAATTTTATCTCCCCATCTATTCAATATTTACATGTATGACTTCCCTCATACTATGCAAAATTCTTTGGGTGTATTGTACGCAGACGACTGTCTTTTGTATGCGCACGCTGAATCTCCTGCTGCGGCGTTGTCTATGGTATCTTGTCATTTAAACACAGTTAATGCTTTCTATACTGATTGGGGTATAAAAATCAATACTTCTAAGAGCGAGGCTATGTGTTTGAGGAACGCTTCAGGGAAATGTAAGAGATGGGTTGTACCAGAAAGCAAGTCCTTGAAGTTGTCTCTGAATGGAGTAGAAATACCATTTAGAGATAGATTTAAATATTTAGGTGTTTGGTACAATAAATTATTCAAATTTAATGCAAATGCGCGAGGCTACTTAGGTAAGGCATATGGTATTAAGGGGTCATTTGCAAGACTTCTTAATAGCAAGTCATTACCGACGAAAACCAAGATAATGCTCTACAAAACAAGCATTAGGCCTGTACTGGTGTACGCACTACCTATATGGTTCCCAATCTCTCCAACGGTAATGAAAGAGTTTGAGATATTCGAAAGAAAAATACTTCGTCTCTGTGTTGGAAAAAATTTTAAGTACCATAATAAGCGTTTCTCAAATCGGTATATATACGAAGCATCGAAAGTTACCCCAATCTCAGTATATGCTATGCGTTTAATTAAAAACTACGCTAACAGGGCTTTTATGCATTCAAACTTGCTTATTCAGGAATGTGTTAATAAGGAATCTAATTTCACGTGGCAAAATACTAATTACGTCTCACCGTTAGGTATTGACTTATACATGTCTCTGGAAGATATTCAGTGTCCAGAATTTTACATTAGCACCTCTCGTGGAATTCACAGGGGCTAGTTAACAACTTAGATG